AAAAAAAAAACACCCACTACTTGTTTATTCCTTCCTCCCTCCTCTTTTCCTCTTTTTCTCTTCTTCCCTCTTTTTCTTCTCTCTCTCTCACTTGTCCCCCTCACTAGGACATTTCTATTCTCCCTTATCCCCAAGGCCCTGGCATCCAGGAGTTGCTCAGTCTCTGCTGAATTAATGTACACATTTAATAAACACATACAGCCTTCTTAGTGCAGTGAGCAGCGCGTCAGTCTCATAATAAACACATACATGAGTTTCTCTTGCAGTCTACCTTAGCCCTCTCTCTGGCCTCAACCACATTTTCAGATTCCTTCACCTTCTGTGACCAAACTCTCCTTGTTTTACAAGCAACAGGGTTCCTGGGGGTGGGGAACAGACACCCTAGGCTCTTTGACATCCCAACAGGCCACAGGCCACAGCCACATTTCCAAAGGAAATTTTCCAGTTTTCCGGGATGGAACCCTACCCTGCACACCCAGATAATGTTATTTTTCTATCAGACTGAGGGCAACCTGTAGCCTCTCTGATCCCCCTCTAGTGAGTGACACAGAGGCCATCCCACTTGCCCTATCCTGCTGGTGCCTACTCTCTGAACTTGGAACCTAGTTGAACGTACAGCTACTGAGGATTCCCAGCCAACATCCAAAAGCCTCCTCTATACCCAGTTCTGGCTGAGCTCCACTCTTCTCTATGCAGTAACCAGAGGGAGCTTTTTAAAAATATAAATCAGACCTGCCACTCCCCTGCTTTTAAATACCCATGCCCCCACCCCCAACTGCTCTCCCCGCCATCACATTTAGAATATACCCGAAGTCCTCACAGTAGCCTTGAAGGCCCTTCCCAGATCTAGCCCTTGCCAACCTTTCACTTCAACTCTGATCATAACTGCAGCACCGTGATTTTCTTTTTGTTCCAAGCTCAGTCCTGCCTCAGGGCTTTTGCTGGTTACAGCCTGGAACTCTCTTTTTCCAGCTCTCCTATGGTTGATTCCTCCTCTTGCTCAGTTGTTGTTTAGTCACTAAGTTGTGTCCCAACTCTTTGTGACCCTGTGGACTGTAGCCCACCAGGCTCCTCTGTCCATGGGATTTCCCAGGCAAGAATCCTGGGGTGAGTGAGTGAGTGACAGTCGCTCAGTCATGTCCGAGTCTTTGCAACCCCAGGGACTGGAGCCCATCAGGCTCCTCTGTCCATGGAATTCTCCAGGTAAGAATACTGGAGTGGTCTGCCATTTCCTTCTCCAGGACATCTCCTTGACCCAGGGATTGAACCCACATCTCCTAATTGGCAGGTGGATTCTTTACCACTGAGCCACCAGGGAAGCCCCCTCATGCTCAGGGTTTCCACCTAAATGCTTCCTCGTCAGAAAGACCCCTTGAGATAGACTGCTCTATCTCAAGGTGCTGCCCACTAGCCATTCTCTATTATTACATCTCCATCTTTTATTTCTTTCATAGCATTCACTCCAGTCTGAACTTATCTGATTTTTTTTTCCTGACCATGCCTCATGGCATGTGAGAGTTATCAGACCGGGGATCGAACTCATGCCCTCTGAAGTAGAAGTGCCAAGTACTAACCACTGGACCCCCAGGGAAGCCCCTGAACTTATCTGATTTGTATTTCTGTTACTTGTTTAGTCTTGCCTTCTCTCCTGAGAGCAGAGATCACGCCTGGACTGCTCACCGTTAAATCTTCATCTCCCAGCACAAGGCTTGTCACCGAGTATAGTACTGCTGGTGAATGAGTAGACACTTTCTATTTATCTAAGAGGCCACCTCCCTCTCAGCTCCACAGCTTCCTACCTCAGAACCTTCATTCCTGTGGTCACCTCTCCTGGGAGCCCCTTCCCCTTGTTAACCCTCAATCCATCCTTGGGTCTCCCTTGAATGTTATTTCTTCAGGAAAACTGTTATCTTAAAAGGCTCTTGCAGACTCCTCTTCTTGGCAAACACAATTCTCATCATGTCTTTAATTATGTACTTGTATTTTTGTACTTATCTGTGTGATCATTATTGAGGCCTGTGAATTTTCTTAGGCAAAGATTAGATCTGTCTGCCCCCACCTCCTAGGTCCATAGCAGGCTTTCCAAACATGCTTGTTGAATGACTAAAGGACTGAATGATGTGTCATGAATCAAATATTAGGATTATCCCAGTTCCATTCTTCAGTGGGTGAATGAATGAATGAATGAAGGGGGGCGGGGATGCAAGGGCCGTGACTTCTCCAGACCACCGTCAAATCCTCGGGAGTCCTCCCACCATCTCCATCAGCGGAGTTTTCAGCCAGACCTCCCAGGCCACCCAAGGCTCCAGGCCAGATTGCAGGATGGGGAGGGGGGTTACCGTAGTCCTTGGGGAGGGGAGCTGGTGCCGAGGGGTGCACAACAGGCTTCTGCCGGCGCTCCTGGGTGGGGCTGGGGGGCTGTGGGACAGGCTCATCCTCCTCCTCCTCCTCCTCTTCCTCCGCCCTGAGCGGCGGGGCCATGGGGGCAGGATCTGTCTTAGTCATGGTCCTCGGTGGCCCTCGGGGGGCAGGTACAGAGTTGGGGGTGGGCTTCAGGCAAGTCCTGGGGGCAGAGGTAAACTAGAGAGGGTGCTCCACAGTCTCCAGAATCTGAGCCCCCCAAACGCTCCCAGGGCTCCGGATGGCTCTCACGCCCCCAGCACTGGATTTTGGGCAACCATAGAGATGTCAGTCACCCATCAGAGGACCCTGGTTTGTGGGCCTACGGTCTACCATCTCCCCCAGGCCAGCCCCCCATTCTTCTCCTCCCGCGTCAGGCCCCTCAGTCTAGGCCGCCCCCTCCCCGGGTTTGTTTATCTCAGGATGCAGGATGCTTCGCCCCTCCCCTTCTCCGCGGGCCTCCCCTCTACCCGTCTTACCTCGGGTGGATGGGGCTGAAGACCAAAGCTGAAACCGGGGAAACTGGAGTAATGGGGTGTCAGTGTCTGGAGAAGTGATGGGGGAGAAGGAGACAGAGAGAAGGGGATGAGGCCCAGACGCCGACGGGGGAGATGGGGGGTGGAGAGGGAGGGGCGCTGACGGCGCATGCGCCGTGTCACCCCCAACCAGGCGCGGGGGCGGAGACAGCGCGAGGCTGTTTGCATTGATGAAAAGGCTGCAGGCTGCGATGGGAAGGGAAGAGACGCCGAGGATGGGAAGAAGAAATGGCCACCAAGAAAATGTGAGGCTTGGAGACAGAAGGAGAGCGATGAAGCGATTGTTCAGTCGCTGAGTCCTGGGAAAACGGGCACAGTCCTTCCCGCTGTGATAGCGCCCTCCCCGCAGGCCTGCAAACCAGGCCAGTTAGGGCGGGGGTCTCTGTGGTAGTGACAGGTGTTTTCTCTCTCTGACGTGTCAGACTTGACCCCTTCTCCATGTTCGCCCTAGACAAGTGATGTCTCAGAGGGATGGTTTTGTAGAGACTCCTATAGTCATTGTCATGGTAACCGTCAGAGTGCTCGCCCAGCACTTACCAGACCCGGAGAAGTTAAGCCACTTGCCCAAGGGCGTAGAGCAGGTAGGGACAATGGAGCTAAGACTTGAATCCAAGTAGCCCGGCTTAGTCACCATGCTACCTGACTTTGGCACTGTAGGGTACACATCTGCCAAGACCCCTCCCCAGAAAGGCCTCCAGGAGCCAGCCCAGGATGGCTCTATCACAGTGGCTTGCCTGTCACACCTGACTAGGGCCTGCCCTGCCCACTCTGATCTCAACAGAACTGGCTGACTTTGCCTTCCACCCCTCATCCTTCTAATGGGCCAGCCCAGTAGCTCCATTCAAGGGTATTTCCAAGGTGTTTCATCCCTCACCCTCATCCCTGGCCCTGGCCCTGGCCCTGGTCCATCCTTCATCCTCTCCCACCCGGACTATGGCAGCAGCCTCTTCCCTGTTCTCCCTACTGCCCCTAACACCCCAAGATGCTGCCACAGGGACCTCTTAATACCTATCACATCAGGACCTTCCTGAAGGCATCTGCTTACTGCACCTCACCCCAGATAAAAGCCAGTGTCTCAACCATAGCCCACAAGTCCCATCATCTCACCAATCTCACCTCCTCTCACTCTCCCCATCATTCACTCCACTCTAACCACACTGGCCTCCTTGTCCCTCCTCAACCCTGGACCTTCGCACTAGCTGTTCCTTCTGCCTGGAATGCCCCTCCCCCAAATACCTGATCTCCTTTCTCCTCTCTTTTAGGCTTTCACTTATCGGTTCCTTTTCAATGAGACCTTTTCGGCTCTATCTAATGTTGCCTCCCAACCCCGCCCTCCTTACACACAAACTCACTCCCACCCCTGCTTCACCATAGCAACACTGCCCTCCTCCAGCTTACACCTTAGATGATGCTGTTAGAACAGGGGCTGTTCTCCCTGGAACATCCAGTCTGCATGCCTTCCAGGCCAGCTTCTTTTCATCATCCAGGTCTCTGCTCAAACACTGTCTCCTTAGAGAATCTTCCCTCCCTCCCTCTGCCCACAACCACCCCCCCCCCCCCGCCACCCACCTCACTCCAGCCATTACATTTTCACTCAGTCTTTATAGCACTTATCACAGTCTGAAATTATATTGTTTATTAGTTCACTATTTCATCTTCTATTCAAGCAGAATTGGAGCACCATGAGGACAGGACTTCTGTCAGCTGTGTTCACTGCTGTATCCCCAGCTTGGTGCCAGGCTTGGCAAAGGGTATGAGGGGCTCTTCAGTACCAGTTACAACTCTCCCCAAGCAAACAATATTCTCCCTGCTCTGAGAATATTTTACTGACCACAAAGATTGAAGGTGGGTTTGGGACCTGGTACCCAGGGTCATCACTACTGACAGAGGTCTTGGGCCCAGGTCAGCCCTAAAGTTCAAGGGGTTCCTAGGAGGAGGTGGTGGGAGCCAGGTCTTTGAGGGAGGCAGTGCTATGCCCCAGGCATGCAGGCCAAGCCCATGTGTGATGTGTCTCTCTTCCTCTGTCTTCTGTCATCCTTCCCAAGACATTATCTGTCCTGGTCCTTATGCACTGGGAGTCTGAGCATCCAGGAGCTCAGGCTTGGCGTCCAGCGTGGGAGGTGCAGGACCGTGGGCAAGGACCACAGCAATGTCAGGCCCTCCACAGATGATGGTGAAGGCTTGGGGTTCCTCAGGTCGAGGGAGCTGGGCCATCCCAGGGAAAGAAGTAGTAGAGATGGAGGACACAGGGAAGTAAGAGGAGGGGAGGAGGGAAGGAAGAAGTGGGGGCAGGGGGAGAAACCATGAGGAACAGGGAGGTGAGGGGGGAGGGGGTGTCAGGAGACAGACAGAGACGTGGGCAGAGAGAGAGGTGAGAACCAGAGAGACATTCAGGAGGGAATGAAGCGGTACGGGAAAACAGGGACAGAGATGAGGGGGGACAGAGACATGGAGAGACAGGTATGGGGGTGTGGGAGAAATGCAGGGATAGCGAGACAGGGACATGGGTATGGGGGATAGACAAAGAGGCAGATGAAGAGAGACACGGGGAAATGAGATAAATGGGATGACAGAGAGATTGGGGGGGGTGCAGAAAGACAAAGATGAATGTGGGAGAGAGAAGAGATTGAAAAACAGGAATGGAAGAGGGGCAGGGGAGGCAGAGAGAGACACAGTGTCAGCCCAGGGCCCTGGCGGGCTCCATGAAGAGCCTCAGGCCTGAGTCTGCATTCTGTGCTTGTCTCTGTCCACTCCCCCACCAGCATGTCCGTCTGCTGCATGGCTGGTTCAGGCCACAGCCTCAAACACGGAGCCTCCAGGGACGGCCAGTGCAGCTCCAGCTGACTGCTACTGTCTGGGGATATGAACCCAGTGCTGCTACATCTGCTGAGCCTTCGGGAAAGGCCAGAAAATATGTTAAAGCATTACTGAGGCCAAACGAATGGTATCTGTGGGCCAGGTCCACCCCACTGGCTGTCAGGTGAGGACATCTCAGCTACAGAGGCACCTCAGGGGCTTTCGGAAACTCCTCCCCACCTCCCTTTTCCAAGCAGGAACAAGAGCCCCAGGACCTCAAGTTTGCCCCTGGGGTTTTAAGCAGGAAAAAGGCTTGGCCAATTTTTGATTTTTAAAGACATGATCCTCTCCACTTCCATCTGCTGAGCCTTCGGGAAAGGCCAGAAAATATGTTAAAGCATTACTGAGGCCAAACGAATGGTATCTGTGGGCCAGGTCCACCCCACTGGCTGTCAGGTGAGGACATCTCAGCTACAGAGGCACCTCAGGGGCTTTCGGAAACTCCTCCCCACCTCCCTTTTCCAAGCAGGAACAAGAGCCCCAGGACCTCAAGTTTGCCCCTGGGGTTTTAAGCAGGAAAAAGGCTTGGCCAATTTTTGATTTTTAAAGACATGATCCTCTCCACTTCCCACCCCAGAAAATACTCAGCAGTAAAATACAGGGGCAAAGGGCCTTAGATAGGGTCAGGGAAACTCTAGTATAGAGCTGCAAACCCAAGCTCTATAGGGGCCATGCCCAGAGGTCTCCAGCAGAAGAGCACAGGCCTCCTCTGGGGCACGACAGCTGAGTTTGGATCCTGCCTCTGCAGCTTACTGGCTGCCTGGCTTTGGGCAAGTTACACTGTACTTCAGTTTTTCATATGGGAAACAGGGACTGTCAACATCAAGGTCAAGTGAGTTTTCATTAAGTTATTAACTGTGTCCAAAAGAGAGTATGTGTGTATGCTAAGTCGCTTCAGTCCTGTCCAACTCTGTTCAACCCTACGGACTGCAGCCTGCCAGGCTGCTCTGGCCATGAGATTCTCCAGGCAAGAAGAGTGGAATGTGTTGCTGTCCCCTCCTCCAGGGGATCTTCCAGACCCAGGGATCCAACCCATATCTCTTACTTCTCCTTCATTGGCAGGCAGGTTCTTTACCTCTAGTGCCACTTGGGAAACCCCCTAGAAGAGAATAGGGGGGCTTAAGTATTATTAAAAAAGGGAACAGCCACTACTCAGTTTCTGCCCATAGTTGCTTGGCATTGCCAGATTGATTTTTTTCATGGCAGCAATTTGGAAACCTGGGTGATATGTTGTGACTTTTCAACTCTGGACTCTAGACGGAAACACTGGGGCTGTGTGGGCCAGGCAGGGCACTCACCGCACACAGCCGGCCCCAGTACACCCGCGCCTGTAGCTGCCGCGCCAGCTGTTCCAGGGCCCGCAGCCGCGCCTGGTGCTGCTCATGGCGCCGCTGGAGCCTCCGCACCCGCCGCTGCAGCGCGCCCAGCGCCGCGCCCAGCCCGGCCCGGGGGTGCTGGGCTGATGCTCTAGGGCGCAGGCCCGCGGGAGCCGGCGGAAGCGACAGGGGCGTCAGAAACACGGTGGCTGGAGCCTCGGGGGCCCCGGAGGCTGGCCCCAGCATCAAGAGCTGTACGGGCCCAGGGGCCGGGACGGCGGGGCCTGGGGCCAAGGATGGGGTCGCCTGCAGAGGCGGAGGCACGACGGGTTTCTCCGTGCTTCGGGAACTCTGCTGCCTCTGGAAGACAAGGCGCGGGGTGGTGGACATCAGGGCCAGACTCCAAGGGGAAATTCCTCAGGCGTTGAGGGCTGGGGACCCACTCCAGCTACAGGGCTTCCCTGAGCTCACCTGGGCGGGCGGCGCTCGGGAGAAGATGGAGGGCACGGCGTCGGGTCGCAGGTAGCGCACGCCCCAGCGCCACTGGAAGCAAGAGGGGGCGAAATGCTCGCTGCACAAGTGCTGGTGGCAGCTGGGCACCCAGTGCTCACGGCCCATGTGCCTCAGCCAGGCCTGCAGCCGGGGGCCATCCTTCAGCGGGAACCTGCCAGGGGGGCGAGGTCAGCGATGTCAGGTCCAACCCCCGCCCCCACCGCCCCATCCCACCCCCGCAGCCGCCAGCACGCGCACACTGAGAGCCTTGAGTGCCAAACCTCTGCCTCCCTGGGGGCAGAGTCTGGCCATGCCTCCCAACCAGGTTGTGTGTGTGTGTGGGGGGGGGGGGGGTTGTTATTCACTCTGTCCTGTCCGACTCTGCAACCCCATGGACTGTAGCCTACCAGGCTCCTCTGTCCATGGGATTCTCCAGGCAAGAATACTGGAGTGGGTAGCCATGCCCTCTTCTAGAGATCTTCCCCACCCAGAGATAGAACCTGGGATTCCAGATTCTCTACCATCTGAATCACTAGGGAAGCCCATCTCTGCCTCTACCCATATCTAATTTTTTTGCTCCCCTCTTGTGGTTCAGCTGGTAAAGAATCTACCTGCTATGTGGCAGACCTGGGTTCGATCCCTGGGTTGGGAAGATCCCCTGGAGAAGGGAAAGGCTACCCACTACAGTATTCTGGCCTGAAGAATTCCATGGACTATATATAGTTCATGGGGTCACAAAGAGTCTAAGAGACACAACTAAGCGACCTTCACCTTCATCTTTTAAACACCCAGCATCAGCCCACCTCTCCTGTATCTGTTGTCGTCTGTCCCCCAAAGCCTCCAAACTCCTTCCTGGTCTCTCTTCCATGGCCACTCTCCCCTCCCCACTAATCTGTTCCTCCACAGGAACCTAAGGGAGCAGTTAACAAAATGGGACAAATCTAGAATGTGGGAGATCCTATATTCATGGGGCTAGGGGTGGGGTTATAGATTAAAGGGGATTTAAGAAACATCAACACAAAAGCAGATCTGGGCTTCTTCTGCAACCAACCATTCTGTAAAAAGACATTTTAATCCAGTTGGGGGAAACTGAACATGAATTGGTTATTAGATAATTGTAAGAAGTTAATTTTGCTAGGTGTGATCATTATACTGATTTAAGCTTCTAAAATAGTCATCTGTTGGAAAAATATTCTGAAATATTTATGAATAAAAGACTGGAATTTACTTTAAAATACTGCATTAAAGATGTACGTGGGAGGAAGGTGGAAGAAAAAGATTAGTGAAATGTTGACTACTGGTGTAACTGAGTGATAGATACATGAGGAGTCATTTAAACAACACTATTTTTTGTGTATGCTTGAAAACATGTCAAAAAGTTTTTAAACAACAAAAAATTACCTGATTAAAAAATGGGCAAAGGGCTTGAATAGACTCTAAAGAAGATACAAATGGCAACCAGCATATGAAAGATGTTCAATATCATTTATCATTAGGAAAATGCCAATCAAAATCACAAGATATTGCCTCATAACCATTAGAATGACTACTATATTTAAAAAAAAAAGAAAATAACAAGTATTGACAAGAATATGCAGAATCTGGAACCCTGTGTGCTGTTGGTAGGAATGTAAAATGGAGAAGGCTCTATGATATGGTAGTTCCTCAAAAAACTGAAAACAGTATTATCATATGATCCAAATCCCACTTCTGGATAAAGACCCCCCCCCAGTAAAACTTCAAAGCAGGGTCTCAAAGAGATATTTGCACACTCATGTTCATAACAGCATTATTTACAATAGCCAGGAGGTGGAAGAAACCCAAGGGTCCATCAACAAATGAATGTTTTAACAAAAGGTGGAATATATATATACACACACACACACATATACATATACTAGATATATATATATACACAATACACACACACACAATGAAATATTACTCAGCCTTAAAAAGGAAAGAAATTCTGGGACTTTCCTAGCAGTCCAGTGGTTAAGACTCTACGCTTCCACTGCAGGGGGCATGGGTTCTATCTCTAGTCAGGAAACTAAGATCCCACATGCTGGGCAATGCAGTCAAAAAAAAAAAAAAGAAGGAAAGAAATTCTGACACATGTTATATAACATGGATGAACCTTGTGTATATTATGGTAAGTGAAATAAACCAGTCACACACACAAAAAAGTCCTAATACTGTATGATTCCACAATACTTTCTAGAACCAACATCAAAAAAGATGTCCTTTTCATCATAGGGGAATGGAATACAAAAGTAGGAAGTCAAGAGATACCTGGAGTAACAGGCAAGTTTGACTTTGGAGTACAAAATGAATCAGGGCAAAGGCTAACAGAGTTTTGCCAAGAGAACACATTGGTCATAGCAAACACCCTCTTCCAACAACACAAGAGATTACTCTAGACATGGACATCACCAGGTGGTCAATACTGAAATCAGACTGATTATATTCTTTGCAGCTGAAGATGGAAAAGCTCTATACAGTCAGCAAACACAAGACCAGGAGCTGACTGTGGCTCAGATCATGAGCCCCTGATTGCAAAATTAAGACTTAAATGAAGAAAGTAGGGAAAACCACTAGGCCATTCCAGTACGACCTAAATCAAATCCCTAATGATTATTCGGGCTTCCCTTTAGCTCAGTTGGTAAAGAATCCCCCTGCAATGCAGAAGACCCCGGTTGGATTCCTGGGTCAGGAAGATCTGCTGAAGAAGGGATAGACTACCCACTCCAACATTGTTGGGCTTCCCTTGTGGCTCACCTGGTAAAAAATCTGCCTGTAATGTGGGAGACCTGGGTTCAATCCCTGGGTTGGGAAGATCCCCTGGAGAAGGGAACGGCTACCCATTCCAGTATTCTGGCTTGGAGAATTCCATGGACTGTATAGTCCATGGGGTCGCAAAGAGTCGGACACGACTGAGCAACTTTCACTTTCACTATGATTATTCAGTGGAAGTGATAAATAGATTCAAGGGATTAGATCTGATAGAGTGCTTGAAGAACTATGGATGGAGGTTTGTAACAGTGACCAAAACCATTCCCAAGAAAAAGAAATGTAAGTAGACAAAATGGTTGTCTGAGGAGGCCTTACAAATAGCTGAGAAGAGAAGAGAAGTGAAAGGCAAAGGAGAAAGGAAAAGATATACCTATTTGAATGCAGAGTTCCAAAGAATAGCAAGGAGAGATAAGAAAGTCTTCTTAAGTGAACAATGCAAAGAAATAGAGGAAAACAATACAATGGGAAAGACTAGAGATCTCTTCAAGAAAATTAGATATATCAAGGGAATATTTCATGCAAAGACGGGCACAATAAAAGACAGAAACAGCAAGGACTTAACAGAATGAAATGATATTAAGAAGAGGTGGCAAGAATACACAGAAGAACTGTACAAAAAAGGTCTTAGTGACCCAGATAACCACGATGGTGTGGTGACTCACCTAAAGCCAGACATTCTGGAATGTGAAGTCAAGCGGGCCTTAGGAAGCATTACTACGAACAAAGCTAGAGGAGGTGATGGAATTCCAGATGAGCTATTTCAAATCATAAAAGATGATGCTGTTAAAGTGCTGCACTCCATAGTCCAGCAAACTTGGAAAACTCAGCCGTGACCACAGCACTGGAAAAGGTCAGTTTTCATTCCAATCCCAAAGACAGGCAATACCAAAGAATGTTCAAACAACGGCACGATTGTGCTCATTTCGCATGCTAGCAAAGTCATGCTCAAAATCCTTCAAGTTAGACTTCAATGGTACGTGAACCAAGAACTTCCAGATGTACAAGTTGGATCTAGAAAAGGGACAGGAAGCAGAGATCAAATTGCCAACATCTGCTGGATCACAGAAAAAGCAAGAGAATTCCAGGAAAACATCTGCTTCACTGACTACACTAAAGCCTTTGACTGTGTGGATCACAATAAACTGTGGAAAATTCTTCAAGAGATGGAATACCACAGTGAAGGACAGTCCTGGTGTGTTGTAGTCCATTATGTCACAAAGAGTTGGATACAACTCTTTGTATCCAACCTAAGCTACTGAAGAACAACAACTTATCTGTCTCCTGAGAAACCTGTATGCAGGTCAAGAAGCAACAGTTAGAACCAGACCTGGAACAATGGACTACTTCAAAATTGAGACAGGAGTACAACGAGGTTGTATACTGTCACCTTGCTTATTTAACTTATATGCAGAGTGCATCATGCGAAATGTTGGATGAAATGAATCATAAGCTGGAATCAAGATTGCTGAGCGAAATGTCAATAACCTCAGATATGCAGATGATACCACTCTAATAGCAGAAAGTGATAAGGGTTAAAGAGAACAGAGAAAAACCTGGCTTAAAACTCAACATTCAAAAAATTAAGATCATGGCATCTGGTCCCATCACTTCATGGCAAATAGAAGGGGGAAAAGTGAAAGTAGTGGCAGATTTTATTTTCTTGGGCTCCAACATCACTGCAGACAGTGACTGCAGCCATGAAATTAAAACATGCTTGCTCCTTGGAAGGAAGGCTATGACAAACCACACACAGCATATTAAAAAGCAAAGACATCACTTTTGCTGACAAACGTGCACACAGTCAAAGCTATGGTTTTTCCAGTAGTCATGTCTGGATGTGAGAGTTGGACCATAAAGAATGCTGAGCACTGAAGAATTGATACTTTCAAATTGTGGTGCTGGAGAAGACTCTTGAGAATCCCTTGGACAGCAAGGAGATCAAACCAGTCATTCCTAAAGGAAATCAACCCTGAATATTCATTGGAAGGACTGATGCTGAAGCTGCAGCTCCAGTATTATGGCCACTGACGTGAAGAGCCAACTCACTGGGAAAGACTCTGATGCTGGGAAAGGTTGAAGGCAAAAGGAGGAGGGTGCAGCAGAGGATGAGCTGGTTAGATAGCTTCACCAATGCAATAAACATAAATCTAAGCAAACTCTGGGAGATAGTGAAGGAGAAAGAAGCCTGTTGTGCCACCGCCCATAGGGTCACCAAGAGTCTGACACAACTTAGAGCATGAACAACAACAAATATGATTCTGCTTATATGAGGTATCCAAAGTAATCAAACTCACAGCAACAGAAAGTAGAATGGTGTTGCCCGGGGCTGGGGGAGGGGTAGGAAAATTGGGAGTTCTTTTTCATTGGGTTTCAGGTTTG